ATGTATGTATGTAAAAAATATTCAGGATATTTTGGGGTTAAAATACATTTTAATGCTTTTACTGTGATTTGCTTTACTTTCCTGTTCCCTTTAAATTTCAATAGTTTAGAAAATATTCACTTTTTTCACCCATTTTTTTCCAGCAGCAACAAATATTTTACATTTTTAGGATGTATTACAACATGCCTAAATTTCTATGTATTTACCAGGTGCAGCTGGCCAAAATTACAACACACGATTCAACAAACAGAGGCTAAAGCTCTGCACGCCATTTTCAGCAAATATGCTTAAACGTATGCTATATCGTAAATTTTAAAATCAGGTGAAAGTTACCTAAAGATGAGAGCTGCAGCTTCTTAACCAGGTCATTTCTATTGTGTTAGAGCAAATTATCTAATTTTATGGGTGGGGTGGGGTTATATTGACTGGATCAAATTATTGTGGGGGTCATAACCACCCCTAACCCCCCTTGCAAATTACGCCCATGTCTGAAAGTAAAATATCTTTCTGTATCCTCAGAGCAACACAAACTTCCAATATCAGGTCTGCATCTGCGTTAAAAACAAGTTTATTTACTTCACTTTCTGCCCTGGGATGTAACAAAAAAAAAAGATGATTAAATTTGAAATTACACAAGTTTGGAATCCTGGAAACAGACCTGATTAGATTTCCTCATATTAGTGAAAAACGAGTGACTCTGCCAAATAATTTGTTTACTTGTGAAAAACAAAGCTCAGCGCTGTTAGATCTGGCACAGATTATTTTCATGTCATTACCTCTGCTCGCTCCAGCCGTGACGTCTCAGTCTGCAGCTTCACTGAGTCGTGGAAAGTCATTATTACCGTCATTTCTCCGTGAATGCTGCGAGATTTTTCTAATGAAGCTGGCTTTCTTTTAGTCTGCGGTGCAATATTTCTGCATTTGTTCTGGTTTGTTTGTTAAAGTTTTATATAAAAAAACCACTCTTCCTGTGTGTCCTGCTCTCTACAAGGGCTGAATGGTATTCAGTGTCTCCCTTATCATTAAAAACACAGCTTCAACCCAACAGGTGCGTGCAGACCAGATCTGCATCCTGATCATGTCAGCACTCAGATCAGTCATCAGGAAACCCCGGGAAGAGTCTGATCCTCTGATTTGTCTGAACATGGTTTCCTCACGCTGCTCTGCAGGAGGCTGTACAGCAATAATCTGTGATTTCTTCTGCCAGCGTTTCTCCCCCATGTGGTGTTTACATCTGAGGACAGCAGCTAAAGATGGTTTCTGTCATCCTCACCATCGAAACTCCAGGATTCCAATCTGGATCAGGTGTTTATTTATTTTTAACGTTTAATGAAAGTTTTCAGATTCGAACTGCAGATAAACCAATTTACCTGCAGGATTTTTAAAYGTTGTGCTGTTTATAACAGTAGTTTGCATTAATCTAAGCAAGATCTTCTCCTGAAACCAAATAACAAACTAGATACYGCATAGTGGTAACATATACGACCCCCAGTGCACCAGAACTCAGAAATCTCCAGAACAGATTTATTGTTTTGGGTGGGTGTGGGGGTATCATTACCCTTCATCAGGGCTAAAATAAAATAAAATAAAATAAAATCTGAAGCTCCTATGTTGAATAATTTTTGAGTTTTGTAAATATGAATCTGAGTTTCATTYATGTAAATAAGGTGGGCGGAGCTTCTTGGACCAGCTCCTCTGCTATTGGTCAYCAGATAGGAAGGAGCAGGATCCATGTGCAGATCTACTGTGCTGCCTCAGTTTAGATTAAAGTTTAAAATTTAGTTTAAAACAAAGACTTTGTTTGTCTGTTGACCAATAGGAGAGGAGCTGACCCAAGAAGGACCGCCCACCTTATTTGTAAATTATGTGCTAAAATATATATCTAAGCTGGAAAAATAAATATGATGGTCAATTAAATGACAAAACATGAGGTAAAGTTCTTCTTTTTTAATTTAATTGGTGCATTTTAAGTATTTATTTATTAGTCAATTTATATATTTCAGCTTTTATTTCAAATTATGTTCTCCATAACGAAGAACACGGCAGTAGAAACCAAGATCCTAACAGATACTGAGCTAATAAGGAGCAATAATGAACCTTGACCACTAGATGGCGCTGGGTATTACACACTGGTCCTTTAAGTTCTTTTCTTGGTCGACCCATTTGTACTTTTATTTGAGTAAAAATATGATGAAGTAACACTTCAGTACAGCTTTTGAACACACTCTGCTGCTGCTCAATATGTCAGTCTCAAAAATACTTCTTGATTTTTTGAGTTTTTTGATTGGAAATAAGATAGTAAGACTGTAAGACGGACAAACTAAAATAAATGTAAACAGCTAATACATTTGCTGATTACTATAATGAAACTGGCAGCAACAAAAACTAGTCCTGAGAAACATTACATTTGAACCCCTGCAACATATATATAATTTACATAAAATGTAATAATGTGCATCATCTCCTTGTCTGACAGGCCCGCAGTGCTCTGATTCCATCCCAGTAGAGCTGGATATTACAGATATTTGACTTGAAGGTGGCGTGTCTGTGTGAATATTCATTTGCTGGGTGGATTRATAAAAAATAAATTGAGCCTGACTAAACTGGCTCCGACTCTGTGAAATGCCTGGTCTCAATTCTCTCTTTAATGAATGGAAATTTAATGCTCGGCGTAGCGCTCCTCTGCCGTTCCTCACAGCTGAACTCACTCCACCGTGAAATCCGGCGACCTCCTGACTGCTCTCCGTTTGTAACGTTTTTCCAAGCTTTGCTTTCAGGAACGAGGAGCTTCGAGCCACAGGAAGAGATAGCGAGGAGAGAGGTGAACCTCTGAACTTTCAGCGCTCCTCTGGAGTTTCTTTTAAACTGAGATAAAGTGTTTTTTTTTTTGTTCTCTCTCTCCTCTCCACTGTGTCATTTATTCGTCCTCAGCTACATTTACACAGCTTGGTCAAATTAAAATTCTTCAGACGCTAAGAATACTGTTTTTGTGACTTTTCAGTGGAATTAGACTTAAAATGCAAAAGTGATGAAAGCATAAAATMTGAAGAAGTGCTTCAGTCAGCTTATAAAATGCATGATTTATATTTAAATTTACAGCTGCAAACACATTTGTTTGCATGTTTTGACCCCTAAATCAACTTGAAACTGACAAAAGTGATAAAAAATAAAAGTAAAACTAAAAAAAAAATCCACTAATGAAACCTACTAAAATAAACTGGTAAAGCTGAGGACAGAGTGTCACAGCAGCAGTGTCGTATAAAGTACCACAAAGTGATACTTGAGTAAAAGTACAAGTATCTTACCAAACATTTACTTTGGTAAAAGTTAAAG